CCACAGGAGTTGCCTTGTAGGAGTTTGATGAAGTTGCTAAGGATTCTTTCAGATTTGAGCTTATTCCTTCATCCTTAAGTAATTTAATTAATTCATTCAGCTTCTCTACAATTTCTTCCTTCTTTAATTTTTCTTGAAAGCCATAAACACTCTCATCTCTTGATTTAAGGATTTGATCATTCGTCTAATTCCAATTTCTAATTATTAGATATTTATTAGTAAAAAACATTTTAAAATTATTTCTACCATTTATAAATTTAGAGAGGCACTTACGATAAAATATTCACCCTCTTCACATCATGTGTTCATTCGCTTTTGTTCGATACTTGGAGAAACTCCATATATCATCTTAAGAGTGTGTCACGTTATCTTGGTAGATTTGAAAATTTGATAATACGAGGGGGGTGAATTGCGGGGGTTTCAAAAACGACAATTTAAAACAAAATTGTTATTTAAATCAGAGTTCAAAACCATTTTCAAGAAAATGTTTTAATATTGCAGCATAAAATCAAAGTGAACAAAATATGTGGAAAATAAAAGAGAAGGGAAAAGAGATGACCCTAGGATTTATAGAGGTCTGGTCTAAATTAAGTGACCTACTCATGTCCCCAAGAATTGATCTCGAGAGTATCCAATAATACTTATGAACTTTTAGAAGGTTAAGCACATGAATCCCCTTATATAATGATAAACGAAATTTTAGGTTAACTTCTAACCAAACAACGAACAATGGACTGAAGAGGTTTATCTTCATTCCAAACACGAACAAAACTTCGAGTAGTTAGTCCCCAATATAAATTGATATTTTATAAAGACTTATTTTGAACCAATGTGGGGTTTTGAATTAGCTATCCTCCACACTGATAAGAAGTTTTATATGGGCTAACAACGAACCAAACTGGGATTTTACACCAGATTGATATCGAACCAATTAAGCTTTAAATCATGCTGAGCTCAAAAATTGATAAGAATATTTTTCATTGTTATCTTCAAGAACCCAGAAAGAGAGCATTTCCTTAAATGGATCAACTCACGAACCAAACGATGACTTAATTTGAAATCCCCAACCAAAACTTTTAACATGTTTAGAAAAATGCTAAATGTTACGACACTATTTTCTGTCGAAACAACATGATCGTGTGTTGAACCATAAAGTTGTTTTATATTTACTCATTTATTGTAATTAATATTTGGTTTAAAATAAATAACATTTGGTTTAAAGAAAGGTTGTAAAGCCATATATATATATATATATATATATATATATATATATATATATATATATATATATATATATATATATATATATATATATATATATATATATATATATATATATATATAATCGTTTGCTTTCGTTGATGAAATATTTCATACACTATAGCATTACTCAAAAATTTAATTATAATTAAAATAAAAAGTAATTAAAAATGATATTTTGGTTTATTTAAATTAAGTTTTTTTAATCAAAAATGGAATTAATTCAAAAACACACAATACAAGGCGATCTCTAGGATCCAGCCCACAAAGTTACAAATCAACTAAACAACTTAAGGTAACATAAAATTGGCTATGTGTGGTCTAAGCTTAGGACTAGTCCATCCTCTATACACAATTACATTAATAATGCACTCCACAATATTCCTATTGTCCCTATTGTGACAGAAGCAGATAACATTATGAAAAATCCAAATCTCATAGAGAGTTTCAGCTAGGGCCAGTCTAATTAGGGAAGTTTTCCAACCTTTGCCACGACAATGTAGTAAAACCCACTTCAACTACTCATCCCATTCCCCAGGAGCATGCTGAATTCAAAGCCACTTGAGGACACCACTCCAAATATGATTCAACTTTAGACAACCAAAAAACAAATGACCAATGATTTTGTCTTTAATACATAACACACATTGAGAATTATCAACCATCCAAATCTGTAAAGTCTCGATTAATCTCTAAGTTCCCATGTCAGATCAACCAAAGAGTCATAATCTCTCTAGGCCTGACTCTATTATGCATAATCAAATTACACCAATTAACAATAGGGATATTTGGAAACATACCCTGGTAAAATTTCATGCTATCAAACCTCCCAACCTGTAACATACTATTCCACAGAGCCTGCACCACACCAATATTCTTCCTTTGTTGTAAAACAACTTTGAATATTCCAGAGTCAACTTGTTTCACATATCTTCTCATCATATAATCATGCTTTAGATAATAGGCATGGATCCATCGAACCCACAAATTGTCAGACTTGACACATATATTCCAAAGCAATTTGATCATAAATATCTTGTTCCAAATCTCCACATTCGTGATGTTGAGACCACCTTTAATTTTAGGTTTACAAACTTTCTCCCGAGCTATATGGCTCATTCTACTAATAATACTACCACATGTCCAAAGAAAAGTCCTACAAATAGGATTAATTTTTTCCAGCACAAATTTAGGGAACATGAAACATTGCATATAGTACGTATATATGGCATAGAGCACACTTTTTATCAGCTACAATCTACCCTCATAGCTCAATAAGCTGGCACTCCAATGTGTAACCCTACTCAAGAGTTTATCCACAAGAGGCATATAATGTATCACAAATAAATTCTTGCTAGTCACAGGTATACCAAGGTATCTAAAAGGGAAAGATCCTTCTCTATAGGAGCTCATCTGCAGAATATTATGCTTAACATCATCAGGCACACCACCAAAATAAATCCTACTTTTAGAGGGATTCATTTTCATCCCTGTAGGCTCAAGGAATCCATTCAGAGTTTGTTGAAGCAGCTCAATGGAACCATGATCACCTCTAGCAAACAGTAGAAGGTCATCAGCAAATGTGAGATTAGTTAATTGCAGCCTCTCACATTTTGAGTGATGATTAAAATTGGGGTTCTTCTGCATTATGAACAGTAGTCTATTCAGATATTCCATGGTGATGACAAATATAAGAGGATATAAGGCATCCCCTTGTCTGATGCCCCTCCTAACTTCCATCCTATCAGTATACTTCCCATATATGTTGAACCTATACAAAATTGTAGTTACATTTGTCATAATCGAGTCAATAAACTTCTTGGGCAAACCAATCTCACTCAGGATATTCTCAAGGGCAAACCAATCTATCATGTCATTAGCTTTTTGTAAATCAAGTTGAACCATACACCTAGAAGTACCATCCTTTCTACTATAGCCCTTGGTTAACTCAGTAGCCAACAAAATGTGATTATGAATCTTCTGCCCAGAGACAAAGGCAGCCTGAGCCTTATTGATGATACTATCCAACACCTTACTTAATCTGGTAGTGAGAATCTTGGAGATGATTTTATAAAAGTTGGAACAACCAGCAATAGGCCTATACTCCCTTATGGTCTGAGCTGTAAAGTGTTTAGAAATAAAAGTAACAACTGTTTCATTAAAAGCTCTATATAAAACATTATGCTCAAAGAACTCTTTAATAGCCTCAATCACATCATGCTCAATAACATCCCAACTGGTCTTGAAAAACTTGGCTTCATAGCCATCAATACCAGGGCTCTTAAGATCTCCAATGCCTCTTAAAGCCTCTTTAATTTCACAAATAGTTATAGGGGCGATGAGACTATTCCTCTGAACCATAGACAATTGGGATCCCTCCCTCGTAGCATTGATATCAATCATCATCAAACTATCCTCTATATTCCCCATAAGGCTACTATAGTACTCACAAACTTCCTTAGCAATATCTTTTAGATTATGAATGAGAGTGCCATCCTCCTTGTGCAGCATACTGATATTGTTGGCCACATAGTTGGATTTAAGGGATGCATAAAAATAGGCAGAATTACTATCACCTTGTCTCAACCACTCAATTTTAGTCTTTTGTCTCAAAATTTGATCATTCACCTCCTGTAGATATACAACAGCCTCAGTACAATTTTTCAACTTATCAATATACCCAATATTCATTCTATCAAGGATAAGATTCTCCTGAGTCTACAGAAGCTCAGACCTAGCTTGCACAATGGATCCTTGGATACTGGAAAACTGCTTGCTCAACTTGATTAAAGGGGTCTGTAACCTCAACATTTTATACCACAGAGTAGCCATGGGTCTACCTTTAATAGGTTTATTCCAGCTTTTTATAACAACATCATGGTAGCCATGAACATGAACCACACTATTAGTAAACTTGAAATTAGTTTGCTTAAAATCACACTTCTTTTGAGCATTCAAATAGAGCAGATTATGATCAAATATACCAGATGGAAGAATCTCCAGGTTCTGACCAAGGTTGTTTTGCAACCAGTCAATATTCCCATGGACATGGTCAATTCTAGAATAGATAGTTCCAAAGTATGTTTGTTAGTCCAAGTATAGTAATCACCTGTGCTATTTTTCTCATACAGCCCAACACTATCCGTCAAACCTTTAAGATCTAAAAACTCATTTTCAGTAACCAAGTTACCACCAATTTTATCCATGGACTTGATCACATCATTGAAGTCCCTTATGAGAAACCAAGGCCCTTGTTGGATGTTATGCATATTCTCCAAATCTTTCCACAAGCCCCTTCTTTGATCAAGCTGATTTAAAGCATATATGGTTGTCATCCAAGTTTTAAAAACACCATTGGTATCATAGATCCCGCAGTGACTCATTTGAGATTTGCTTCTCACCAGTCTAATATCAATGCTAGTATCATCCCAATTAACCCAAATTCTACCATTAGAATGATCCTGATAGTTATCAATGTATATGCCCCTAAGCTTGAGCTGATCCCTAACTTTATTAGCTTTCTCATACTTTACTCTAGTTTCTAAAAGGATATCAATCTTAGGGTAAAGATTAAGGAGACGAGAGCTAATATCCCTTAACTTCCCCAATTTATTAAGCCCCTCACATTCGGTGCTACTATCATTGACTTGTGTTTTGAAGATCCAAGAGATCATCCTAAATCTCTATGGCATTAAACCATTATCACAGAAAAATTTACCTGGTGGTTCTTCATCCATTGGTCACTTCCCCCTTGCCTTTCCACTCTTATGAGCCTCTGTCCACTTCTCAATTTCATTACCTGTTGTGCTAGTGGTCTCAGTCCCACCCATATCTTTCCCAATGATCTCATCTCTTCCTGCTTTCACAATGTTTGATGAACTAACAGTCTTGTTGTCCTCTGGGGTTTTTGGCTTTGGCTTATATTCTTTGACTATGCCTTTAGGTTTATCACAGTTGTGGCCTATCTTTTGACATTTACCACATAAAATCGGCTTCCACTCATATTCTATGGCCTGCTGCATTTTCTCCCCATCGCTGTCTCTAATGGTAATTGCTTTAGGATGTTCGTTGGTTATGTCCATTTTCACTAGAATTCTTGCATAGGAAACATGAAGTCTATTGCCTGTGCATTCATCAGTCACTATCGGATTCCCCAATGCACTTCCAATTTTGTTTAGACTGTTTTCTCCCCAAAGGAAAAGAGGAAGCTGAGGGAGCTTCACCCATATAGGGAGAGTCCTCAACATGTCATCCTTGAGGTTAAAATCTAGACGCCATTCTCTAATCAGCAGCGACATACTTATGAACATGTATGGCCCCTTCATTAGAACATCATCTCTTTCCCTGAGCATCTTGAACCTAAGGATGAAATATCCTTCCTCGTGGTAGTACATATCCGACAATTGCACAAAATTCCAATGCTTAATCATGAAGTTTTTGACAGCATTCATACTAAGCTCGCCTCCCAAAGTATATAGAACCAAAGAAGGTTTCCAGAATATGACCTCTGAGATAACATCGTCTTCTTCAATTTTGACTTCAATCTCACCATTAACCATTTTGGGAACTATAAATTTTATGCTTCTTTCCTTAGCTGGATTTCTGTTATCGTTTAGAGCATCAACCCATAATTTCCTTACTCCTTCCAATTTGGGATCTAGGGTTTCAATAGGTTTGAAATCTGCATCATCTTCTTTTTCCTTCTCTTTGCTCGTACTTGCTTGGTGAACTTTCTCCGCTGGACTCACAAGAGCAGTTTTTGGAGGTGAACAATTGATAGGTTCCGGCGGCGGAGGCACCATATTTATTATTATTGTTTTTTTTATAAATATAATAATTTGAAACTTTTTATTTGGTCAAATAATATTTGAAACTTAAACGATGAAATAAACCAGTGTTTTAAAAATCAGACCCATCATAAATCGATGAAGTTATTAGTTTATTGGTCGAATCACTGAGTTGTTGGTGGGACCGCATAACTAAATGGAGTTAAACTGAATAATTTGATTGAATAAATCGATCTCTATCACAAAATTATATATTTATAAAATCAATCAAACCAGATGATGTTCGGTTTCACAAAAATATCATGACACTTACAAAATTTTAAATTTTCAAAATATCATAATTTCACTAGTTGAATACTTAAATATAAATTCTAAACATAATCATCATCACACACAATAAAAAAAATACAAATCCAAATAAAATTTGAAAAATTCTCATTGCAAATGAGAGAACGTTGTTCCAAATGAATTTTAACAAAATCTACTTATATTTTAATTTTATTTTAAATTTTTTTTATCAAAACGATGTCGTTTTATCGGAAAAAAAATACATGCATTTAACCTGTTGGTTTTTCAAAACCGCCAATTCATTGGATTTCATAAGTTCCGACTGATTTTCACTTATGCAATATCATACTCGATCCAATAATCAGATCAGACCGATGACCCCTCCGATTTTCGATTCTACCGGTTCGATTGAATTTTTAAAACACCTAAAAAAACAAATTAAGACTTTTTATACGGTAATATGTAGGGAAACTCAGTCCCCCAAAAAAAAAAAGACCAAAAAACCCCATTGTTGTGAAGGAAGTTAAACTTATACTGCTTAACTTGTTTTCATGAATGCACTTTACGTGTTTGTAATAATGTTCTTCCTTACATTACCGCTATTTTACTTTATTCCATCCCTTCTTTTCTTCTCCACCATAAATTTGTTGCTATTAAACATATATATGAGTTGTAAAAAATAAAAAAAGAGTAAGGAGAACATGATTTGCAGTTAACACTTGCTACAACATTGTTCATACTACTTCAGCTCAAAGTTGGAAATAAGGTAAATTCCAATCATATGAGTTTTTTAATTTTATTTTTCAATTTTTTAAATTAGCTGTTTCTCATAACCTAGAATCAATGTCACACAGTTTTTTAAAATATCTGTCTTGTCATAAATAACCATTGTCTCATAACCTAGAAAATCAATAACACTAGCATACATATAGAATTATCGTTTCATGCCTTTTGCAACAAGTTTTGGTGGATGATTCACTAAACACCCCCTTTTTATAACCTAAAATGTTTATTATAACTCAAAATGTTAATAGTTGAATGTCTCCTTTGTTTGTAGTTTTATCACAACATTGACCAAATGTCATATATATATATATATATATATATATATATATATATATATATATATATATATATATATATATATATATATATATATATATATATATATATATATATATATATATATATATATATATATATATATATATATATATATATATATAATTTCTTTTTTATTGTATCTTAACACTATTTTTAATTTTGAAGTGATGTTTTTTTTAGTCAAACAATTTAATTCTCTACTCATAAAAACACCTATTTTTTATTAACTTAACCATATTTCATTTTTTTTTAAAAATGCCATATTCTGTATTGATACTCTATACCGGTAATACCGATAATAGTACTCGCACTGGATACCATACCGTACCTATGCATCATAGGACAATTCTCATAATAGGACAAAATTCTAAAACTACATTGGTAACTAAATTTTGTTGTTTTTGCTGATTGCTTGTATATACCTCTTTTGCATTTTTATTAGTTCATTCAACGGAGATGATCCTTTATCTTATTTGAATTTATTTTATATTTTATGTTAGCAAATTAAATTTAAAATCATATTAAACTAAATTAATATTAATCTATATATGATGTAATCTCAGCTTCTTTTTGTTTGCTGTAGAACGTGAACTATATTGGAGAAAGAAGAAGATTAATAGTTCATTCAACTTGAGCTTGCATTAAAAGTGTTGGAAATAAAAATAAGGTAAAAGAATCACATGGTTGCCTTTTTTTATTTATAAAAACTTGCTCATAACCGATAATCATTATATCACCATTGACAAATGCTATCAGTAAAAACTGGGATAAATTGTGGTTGGAGACTGATTTTGTCTTAGTTGTTAAAGCTTACAATAAACCTTTTGTTGTGCTGTGGAAATTAAGGAATAGATGAGACAAATGTATCCTTCAGATGAGTAATTTTAATTTTCTAATTATATATAGGGAAGGAAATTTATGTGCAAATAAGCTTGCTAACATATGCTTAGGTGCATCTAATTTTACTTGGTGGAATGATATTCATTAGGTTGTACAAACAAGTTAGGTTTACCTAGTTTTAGAACTAGATAGGTTTGAGATTTTGGTTCGTTGTCACCCCTCATTTTTGTAGCTACTCTTTTCTTTTAAATTCAATGGGCTTTGCCCTCTTTTAATTAAGAAAAACTTAAGCTTTGTTTTCTTTTTGTTATGCATATTGTCATAAGCAATTACTTCAAGTATATATAATTAATTATTACATGATTATTTTTTATACTCTTGGGTACTCTGGATATTTTATTGTTTGCTCTTGCTCAATGTGGATGTCTCTATCATGGTCCATCACCCATATACCTTCAATTCAAAAAACTTGGCTTAACTTTATGCGTTGAGCATTTATGCTTAATTTTGATCTATCGAAGCAATGTTGAACATTTATCCCTAATGCTCTTTTTTGGGAAGAAGAAGAGTAGAAGATGTTCAAGCTAATGCTCTTTTTTGGGAAGAAGAAGTTGATAAGATCATTCAAGAAGACACAAAAAAAACAAAATTCTTTTTTGGATTATGTCCTAATTGCATATGGCGATATAAAAGGGGAAAGTAACTTGAAAATACGAATGAGCAAATAAAAAAGTTTATGGAAACTGGAAAGGAACTTAAAATTGGACTCCCTGCTCCTCTTCTAGATGTGACAATCACAAAGGTTGTAGAATTCTTGTAACCACACGCAATGTGTTGGTATGCGGCAAATTAGGATGCATTAATACAATCAGATTGGAGCTCTTGTCTCAAGACGATGCATGGGAAATGTTTAAACGACATGCTGGTTTGACTGAAATTTAAACTAAAAATTTGCTCGACAAGGGTTTTAAAATTGCAAATGAACGCAAAGGATTACCAATTGCAATTGCTGTTATCGCAAGTAGTTTGAAGGGAAAACACCATCAGGAAGAATGGGATGTAGCCTTAAAATCCTTGCAGAAGCACACAACAATGCACGAAATTGGTGATGGTGATGATTTCATCAAAATATATGAGTGCTTAGCCTAGTATCATTGGAGGAATTGGAAATAATTGGCTGCAGGCATCTTGAATACATGATAATAGATGAAAGAAAAGAGAAGGAATTGAGAGATGAAAAATTTGTTGACGATGATGATAATGGTTGCAAGAGGAGTCAAGACAATATTTCGAAAACTTAAAGATCTTTATATTCATGAGTGCTGTAGATTAAAATTTATATTCCGGTTTCTCTCTATTCAGGATCTTTCGGCACTAGAATCATTCTCAATATCTGATTGTGAGAAGCTGCAATACATATTTGGCCCTGATTCAATAAATTATTTTCTAAAATGTGATGTTACCACATCTTTTAAAAATACTGGCACAAATCAATGACTACTGAAAGGACTAAAATCCCATTAGTTTCTCAAGATCAACAACAGGTAATCATTCACCTTTTATCATGTAATCTTTTGCTAGTTTTGATACTTTGTTTTTATTAGATATTATGACATTTGTGGATATTAAAAATCTTAAATATGACTTACATCAAAATAATAATATTAGGAAAGGAGTCTACATACAATTATTTGAATAAGATTATCTTCTCTTAATATATACAATAAAAAATAATTCTTAATATTAGAAGGAAGTTTTATTTGATGGGTTTGTTAGTTTTCTTTATAAGCACTCACTACGCTAAAAATTAAAAATAACAGTGCACCATAGACAACGCTCATTTCAGGAAGCGCTGCTATAAGTTAAAAAAATAAAACTATAAACTAAATTAATAAAAAGCGCTACTAAAGGGCATAGAAAAGAAATCACTTTCTTGAAAGCGCTGCTATAGGACATAGAAAAGAAAGCGCTTTCTTGAAAGCGCTGCTGTAAGGAATAGATACGAAAGCGCTTTTTGAAAACGCTGCTATAGGGCACAGATAAGAAAGCGCTGCAAAAATAAAAAATAACAGCGCACCATAGACAACGCTCATTTCAGGAAGCACTGATATAAGTTAAAAAATTAAAACTATAAACTAAATTAATAAAAAGTGTTGCTAAAGGGCATAGAAAAGAAAGCGCTGCTATAGGGCATAGATACGAAAGCGCGTTCTGAAAGCGCTGCTATAGGGCATATATTAGAAAGTGCTTTTGTCATTAAAAGCACCGGTAATGCCTATACTTTAGGCAACGCTTTCTGAAAGTGCTGCCTTTTCAAAATTCTAAAATTAAAACTCTTAAACCCTAAAATAATAAAACACGATTCTTTCTGCTACCCACCTCCGCCTCTCAACCGTTCTCAGCGATTTCACGACGTTCACCTCCGTTCACCTCCGTTCATCGCCGTTCGACCTTCGTTCACCGCCGCTTGACCTTCGTTCTCAGTGATTTCACATCGTCTTCATCTTCTCGACCTTCACCATCATCGTCTTCATCTTGTCGACCTTCACCATCATCGTCTTCATACTTCTCACGCCGTTGTTCGGTAAATTTCTTAGAGCTTCTATGTTTGTTAATTTTGTGCTCATTTGTGTTCTTTAAACTTGTTCTAGTGGGACTGTTAGCTTTGTCAACTAATCCGCTATGATTCATTTTTGTTTGTCTCAATTTTCTTTTGACGGTTCATTGATATTTTCATGTTTTTCTCAGAATATATGTTTTGCATTTATAATGTTATTGAAGTTAAGTTAAGTTGTTTTCTGATTGCAATTTTACTGTTGAAAGTACCTCTTGGTTCCTTTTATACCAATAATATTTTGGAAGCAGAAGGTTATAATCTTTTGAGATGCATTGCTAGTTTGGACTATCCTGTTTGAGAATAGTTCAGGTGTGAATGAAGCATTGCATTTGCATATTAGAAATCAATATTTCAAACAATCACGGAGTTTGACGAAATTATGGTACCTTTGTGATTTTGTTGTATTAGTGTTAGTATCACACACCTTCATTCTACAAAACTCACATTGAATCTAAAGTAACATTAAGTGTGCTTAATTCATTTCATTTTCTATATGTTGGGTTCCTATTACTGTTACACTTTGGATTCTATGTGTACTTTATAATTTTGTAGCGATAAAATATCCCCACAAGTATAGGAGTAATAGGAATTGATTTTGATCATTCAGAGACATACAATGTCAAAAACCAACAATTCAAGAAGCTTTAGTTATTAAATGAAGAAACACAAATGGGTAGGGTTTTATATAGTATATTTCTAACAAAAACCATCAAGATAGATTTGTGCTAATGCTTCCCATATCTGAGTGCCTTTGGAAACATGAAAACCATCAGCAATAAGTGCTCTTTCAAATTGATTAGGAGAATTTATTATGTGTGAATTAATTGTTAGTGTCATCTCTAAATTATTGACTGCTACATAATATGTTTGAGTTTTCTCATATTGTAGGCATTGGCTTTTGGTATCTTATATATTCACTTTTGCAATATTCTCATTTGAGCTTCATTTTGTATCCAGGTTACACATTTTGGAGACAAAATTATACTTGAAGATCTTCGATTTTGAATTAAGCTGGTTGGACAAGTCAAAATTCTTGTTTTACACTAAGGTTATAGAACCTTCTATGTTTTATATTCCATTAGAATATTCTCCTATGCTCCTATGATTTTCCATGAATATGTCTAATTGGTATTAAGCTTTTTTGTCCCTGTCCTTTTTTTTAAGTCTTGTTTTTGTTTAGCTTACTTAATAGTAAGACCATGGATAAAAAATGGATGTCATCCAATCGATTGTCCACAGAGTATGAGAATGAGGTATTGGAATTCGTTAAGTTTGCTGTTGAACACGCCGAAGACGCCAATCAAATAAAATGTCCTTGCTTAAGTTGTTGTTTTGTGGGTCGGGTTGAGACAATTGGGTTGCAATCGCATTTATTGAGGCGTGGAGTTGATTGAAGTTACACATGTTGGATATTCCATGGTGAGAAAAGTAACGAGAATGTTGAACCGGGGGATAATACGACATATGCTTCAGACAAAAATGACACAGATACATACGATTGTGATCGAGTCGAAGAGATTGTAGAAGCACTTGAAGAAGATCTTCAAGATTGTCCCAAAATGTTTGAGAGGTTGGTAAGCGATGCAGAGAAACCTTTGTATAAAGGTTGCACTAAATTCACAAGATTGTTTGCGGTATTAAAGTTGTACAACTTAAAGACGGACAATGGATGGTCGAATAAAAGTTTCAGAGTTCTTAGCCATTATAAGAGATATGCTTACGAAGGATAATGTTCTTCCTAATCGAACCTATGAGGCTAAAAAAATGTTGTGCTCTATTGGCATGAGCTACGATAAGATACATGCTTGTCCAAATGATTTCATTTTGTTTCGAAACAAATATGCATCATTAAATGAGTGCCCTAAATGTGGTTAATCTCAATATAAGAAAAAATTATCTCCAGAAAAAGTCTTATGGTATTTTCCTATAATTCCGATATTTAAACGCATGTTTCATAGTGAAACCGATGCAAGACACTTGACTTGGCATGCAAATGAAAGAATTATTGATGGAAAGTATCGACATCCGGAAGATTCACCACATTGGTCGAAAATTGATAATGATTTTCCTGATTTTGGAGAAGAAGCAAGAAACCTTCGCTTGGCATTATCTACGAATGGAATGAATCCACATGGTCTTCAAAGTATCTCACATACCACAAGGTCTGTGATTATTATGATTTATAACCTACCTCAATGGCTATGTATGAAGTGTAAGTACATGATATTATCTATGTTAATTTCTGGGCCTAAACAACCAGGGAATGACAATCACTATGCCAAACAAGGGATTAGACAACGCTTTTTTAGGCCTTTAACAGCGCTGCTAAAACCTCCGCTGCTAAAGGTATAGACAACGCTTTTAATGTGGAACTTTAGACAGCACTTTTATCAAGCGTTGTCTATTCCCCCCCTTTAGCAGCGCTTATCCTTATTATTTTTTAATATTTTTTTTTCAATCACTTTAGACAGCGCTTGGTAAAAGCGCTGTCTATTCCCCCCCTTTAGCAGCGCTTTTCCTTATTATTTAAAAAAAAAATTCAATCACTTTAGACAGCGCTTTCATGAAAAGCGCTGTCTATTACCCCCCCTTTAGCAGCGCTTTTCCTTTTTTTTTTTTTTTTTTTTTTTCCAATCACTTTAGACAACGCTTTCATGAAAAGCGTTGTCTTCCCCCCCCCCCCCCCCCCCCCCCCCCTTTAGCAGCGCTTTTCCTTATTATTTACGTGTCAATCAGAGTAGTTTCTATGACCAAAATTATGCCTTCAGAGGCATCCATGTTTATAATAAAACTCAGATAGCTGAAACAAAAATTAATATGGCTATTGTAAATAACAAATGTTTTTGAGGTGATAACTCCGATAAACAAACTACAGTAAATTTTCAATTTAGGCAAATGACACATAGCGAAGCAAAACAAAATAGAAACTCTAAGTCGTCCTCTGGGCAGCTTCCTTGGCAATAAGCCTTTCCTTCGCCTTTGTTTTGGCTTGGGATTTGGAACCCATGATTCCACCACCCCACTTCTTCCTGTACTCTTCATACTTGTCATTGAAGTTTGCCTGAAATACAAGCAAAATAAATACACAAGTTTTATTGGGCAATACGACAATACACTGGAAAAAGAGAATTGTAAAATTCAATGTCACCTTGATTGCTTCAAGGACCCTGCTAAACTCCATTTTATCTTCATTTTTAACAGTTGTCAAGCACAAAACAGCTGCAGTTTTCTTATGGACAACCTGTAAAGTATAGATGTGTTATGAGTAATTAACAAAGTAATGTCAACATAACTCATTCCCATTACATATTAGTGTTGAAACCACAAGAAACTTACAGTTCCAAGGCGAGCCTTGCCCTTAACAATACAGTATGGAATTTCCATTTTCCTACACAATGCTGGAAGCCAGACAACCAATTCAATTGGGTCAACATCATGAGCAATCACAACAAGCTGGGCTTTATTCTGTAAGAAAAAGATATCAGCTTAGCACGTCATCCATCAATATCACAAAACAAATACACAAACAAGACAAAAACCACAATCACTGAGTAACAAAATCAATAAACAACCTGCTCAATGAGGTAGGTAACATGATTGAGACCATACTTGACATTAATAGGCTTCTTTGTCTCAACTATTTTACCCTCAGACTCTGCCTGAGCCCTTTTCAAAAGCATATCCTTCTTTTCTGCTTTGTCCTCAGGCCTATACTTGAGAAGAATCTTAAACAAGCTTGTTGCTGCAGGTGCAATCATTAAATATAATCAAAATCATTATCCAAACAAAATAAGCCATCATAGAATCAGAATGTATAGAACATAAAAAAAAAGCAACTCAAAAGTCTCTAACTAAATTCAAATTAACCAAAGCAGCTAACTGATTAACATCAAAACCCACAAGAACAAAATATGACAACTAAATTCAAATTACTTTCTCAATTATCTCAAAAATTGTTTGACAAAGAGGAAGGGAACAATGTAAAAATATTCGGTCAAACTTTAGAAGATATGAGATGAAAGGTGTGAGCATCTAACGCTTATAAATCATGAATTGAAACATTGTATTTTGGTCTAGGATCCAATTCTATTGAAATCCAAAATTTATACAAAAATTTTAATCTAATCTTTTCTTCTTTAATCTTCCTTCTAAAAAAAACCTATTGTCTTCATCAAAATCTAACTATGATTGATGATGAACATTTTCTTTATAAATTCCACATAGATTGCTCTAAGTATTGGAGTGTGAAGTCTTAAACGCACTAACAATACTTAAATCTGTGCTAAATTTTTACATCCATTGTTAGAGTTAAAATTGTAAACACATACATTTTATCTTTTATTTGATTGTATTCTCTCTGAGGGCTAAGTTGATCCCAATTTTTTTTTTGAGAAGACAAAGAGATTAAGTGTTTTTTTTCTATTAAATTCATATTTTATTTAGTTTGTATTTGATTACGTTTTCTATTTACACTTACCAAAGTTTTTGTTATACAATTACTTCAACAAAGCAGTAGGTGATAAATCTAAATATTTTTCATAATCAAACTTAATCATGTCTATGTTTTGTTTTGGTGGTCAAAGATTAGAGAGTAAGATAGAGAAGCCTAAGTTGATGATAATCTTGTGTTATTTTAGGATTATAGTAAAAACAAATTATGAGAATGAAATACAAAAAACACATGATGAGAATGAAAATGAGTACTATATACCATATTGAATGCATGCATTTAATGTGTGCAATTTATTTCAGAATCAACTGAGAAGATTTCACTTGAGAGATGGCATATGTTTAATTCAAAGATCCTCCACAAAGTTCTAATAACCATCACCACCACCCATAGCAGCTTACCCCTTAAACAGTATGCCATTAAAGTAAGTTTCAATGAGCTCTTTCCTAACAGGATCATTCAAGAACTTAATCAAGTGACGTTCCTTCGCAGTGCCACCAAACACAACCACCAAATTCTCACATTCCATCTCATCAAGTTTAGGGATGAAAGGTATCCCCCTAAATCTACAATCCTTTTCATAAAGATGATAACACTCAATTCTCAATTCAGCTATGGAAGGCTCTTCATATTCATAAATAGGACCTAACTTTAACTTCAACTCACCACTGATTCTTGCAGATTCTGTCTCCAGCACCATTTGACGCTTCTTCAACTCATCGATCGCGCTCTAAAAGCGTTTGCGTTCTTTCATAAGAGGAGCAACAGAATCAATGAGCTTTCTTGCTAAGGCAATATCAACTTTTGATATTTCCTCCTTTTGAAAGAGGATTTGTAACCTTCTCCTGAAAAATTATTCCCAAAATAATACAATTAATAAAAACAAGCAAAAATGGAATCGTAAATAAGATAGATGTTGAAGCAATTACTTACTGGCTTCTTCTTGGAAGCTGCAACTGGAGCTTTAACACCCTTTTTGGGACCCTGAGAAATCAAACACATAAGTGTAAATTGCACAGATATAAACGAAGATAATGAAGATATAGAGATAAGAATAATTAGGAATACAGTATAAGGAGGATCTGAATTCGTAGAGTTTACTCACCATTGCTGCTGCTGGTGCTAAAGCTCGTGTCTGCACGGTGACGAAGTTGGAGAAGAAGATGAACCACGGTTGGACGGTGAGGAGGGAGGAGACGAGTTAGACGAAGATGAACAATTGCGTGTATAAAGTGGGGTTTTGTATAAAGTGGGGTTTCTGATAACCAATTTAGGGATTCAGAAATTATTTAATTACCTTAGACAGCGCTTTCAAGAAGCGCTGCTAAAGGTATTACCTTTAGCAGCGCTTTAGTGTAATGCCTTTAGCAGCGCTTCTTGAAAGCGCTGTCTAAGGTATACCCTTTATCACACCTTTAGCAGCGCTTTTAGTAAGCGTTGTCTAAGGCATACCCTTTAGCAGCGCTTATTCTTATTTTTTTATTTATTTTTATTGAAAACCTATAGCAGCGCTTAGGGAAAGGAAGCGCTGTCTATGGTAAGGCCTTTAGCAGCGCTTTTAGTAAGCGCTGTCTAAGGTATACCTTTAGCAGCGCTTACTCTAATTTTTTAATTTTTTTTTCTTCTAAAAACCTATAGTAGCGCTTATGGCATAAGCGCTGTCTATGTGGCGCTGTCTAAATTCAATTTTGGCATAGTGAATGACGTATACTTGACACCTTTGATCGAAGATTTAAAGATTTTATAGGAGAACGGTGTGGAGGTTTATGATGGATATAGGAAACAAAGTTTTAATTTGAGGGCGATGTTGTTTGACACAATTAATGATTTTCCAGCATACGGGAATCTATCAGGGTATAGCATTAAAGGTCAAAAAGCGTATCCTGTTTGTGAAGATGGAACCGTTACGACGCGATTGGACCTTTGTCAGAAGATTGTCTTTCTCGGTCATCGTATATTCTTAAATTCTAAACATTACTACCGTGGGTGGAGAAAAACATTCAATTAAAATTGGATAGTACGAGAGCACAATCAAAGTTTTATACAATGCTTTAAGGATTATATTTATTCAAAGTTTTATTCAGATCCCGCTTCAATAACAAAAAGGTTGAGATGTTTGGCATATGGTCTAAGTTTGCATGTGTTTTCTCATAGCGTATACACAATTAATGGATACACATTTTATACAAAAGAACAAGATGATAAAAGTACTATGAAAAATAGTGGTGTCACCGTGGTAGCTGAAGCAATGCACATTTCAAGTATGAAGGACTTAAACCGCAAGTATGAAAATCTGTCATATTTTGGGGTTATCGATCGCATTTGGGTGTTTGATTACGAGAAGTTTCAGATTCCTATATTTAGTTGCAAGTGAATACATAATAGTGGTATACGAATGGATAAGTCAGGATTTTTGCAAGTGGATCTTAATAGGATGGGGGTACAAAGATGAACCTTTTATTCTAGCCTCTCAAGCTAAACAAGTATTCTACGTCACTGACCCGAAGAGTACGAAATGGTCTATAGTGATTTTATCTAACAAAGTGATTGATGATAAAAGTGTAGATCAAGGTAATATTGATGTTGAGAATGAGTCGTGTGATCGGTGGATCTGGAACTGACTGTTTAACGCTGGTTTCGCGAAATGTCGCGGTAAGCAAGAGTCGCCACCGTCTTTTATTTTTCCAATATGGAAAGGACAAAAGCACAGAAAAATTCCTTATTGAGATTAGCTCTCGGTTCGGGAGGTAGATTTATAGAAAGGGAAGGTGTTAGCACCCTTTCTATCCATGGTTATCCATGGGCTCTTAGATACTTGCTCATTTGTGTTTTCAAAAGTGTTTGCTTTTCAAGTGTGAGTGGGTTTGAAAAAAGTTTCGTTTAAAGATTTCTGAATAACTCTTGTATCAGTCCTCAAGAGTGTTTGAAAAATTGTTTTGAAAGCTTTTTGAAAAGTGTCGGTGTGAAAAGAGTTTTGTTTGTTTTTTTTTTGAAATAGAGCAAGTATCTACGAGTCATCTACCTACCCTAAGGAATTAGGCTGTGTAAATGTCCTTAAGGTAGTGCCATCCCACCATTGAGAGGTAGGTAGCACCACCGTTGGAGGTGTTCAGGTCAATTCGTTTGTAGGGACAGTGTGGTCACCGAGCAACAGTAGGACACCTCAGAAGCTACCCTTATGCCATTGATCCTTTTTAATTCCGAGGCAACCTTTTCGAGGCGACTGGATCATATCATGGACATAAGGACTTACTAAAACGTCCTGTACTCGACGACCACAATTTGAGCTTGTAGGGACAGTGTGGTCACCAGAGCAACAGTAGGACACCTTAGAAGCTACCCTTATGCCATGTTCATGGACATAAGGACTTACTAAAATGCCCTATACTCGACGACCACGTTTTGAGGGGCAAGGCAATAGTGAGGCGTACCCTAAGAGTGGTGTGTGAATTTGTGTATTGTTTTCAGTTATGTTTTATCTTGTCATGCATTATGGTGATCTACGCTTTGATTTTTATTTGGGCCATTCATTCTTTCATGCAAAATTTAGCAATTAAGGGGTGCGGAAATTAAAGTACGGAAAACGTAAATCCTACGCTATTACAAGGCGCGGGTCTATACATCGCCAAATCTTTACAAAGACCCGTTTTAATAAATAAGTGCGGAAAATAAAAAAAACAGTAAAAAGGTCCTATTTACTATTACATATCCGGAGCAATTACATAATAATCGAACAAATTAAATACGCGCGAATAAAGAAAAGGGAATTAATTTTTTTGTCTTTTTTTTGGTAATTAAATGAAATTGAAAACTAATTAATTATTTTAATTACAAGAAAATATTTTTTGACCTTTTTTATGTTTTTATGAAATAAAATAAAAAAAAGAATTAAAAATGTCAAAAGAAAAAGCCTAAGTCTAAATTTGTTTTTATTTATTGTGAAAAAAGGTTAAAATTAACTAATTAAACTAATTAATTTGTTAGTATTTTATTTACAAAAATAATTACTAAAGTGAAATTAATAATAATAATAATAATTACATTTTTTTTTGTTTTTTTCTGAATTTATGAAAATAATTATTTGTGAACTAACTAAATAATAATAATAATTAATAAAAGGAAAGAAAATAAGAAAAGAAATGCTAAACCAAGGAGGTGAAGGCCGGATTTTGGAGGTTTTACTCAAAATCATCCTTAGGCATTAAAAATTCCATCTAAGCCCATGGTTGTGATCGTCCATGTCTCCTGATCACGTCTATGCTTATGGTTTGTCCCAATTTCACCTGTAGACAAAATACCTAAAAACAAAACCAACGAACCCTAGGCACGGGTATTGTTATACGAAGCCTAAAAATGAAATTGAATATAGCAGTTACATTGGAAATTAGGCATGGAGTATGAATATGCTATTATTTTCCAGAAAAAGTGCAAGAATGGAGAAACATGATTTCGTGTACAGGGGTGAGTTTGAGACAACTTACAGCACTTGGTAGTGGACCTTAGGACGCGTTTGTGGTTGCTTTAGCTTCAGGGAGTGGCAAGGAAGAAATCCACGTGCTTGCTTTGATCTGAAAATGTTTGCAACACCGCTTTAGATCTCTCACTTTTTTGGACAAATTTTGAACTTTTCCTCTGGCCGTTTGTGCACACTCTCCTTTTTTTCTAGGTCCTGAATGAGGCTTGCAAGGCTTGTATATATAGGCTTGGATGAGAATCAGTCACATTAAGGAGCTTTTAAGCCTTGCAATGAAGTTTTGATTTTCTCCATAATCACCATTGAAATAACTTGCCATATTTACTCCAAATTTGAATTTTTTGCTTGAAATAGGTATTGAACGAATTTGGTATATGTTTTATGGTGTATCAAAGCTATTCAAACCACAAAATATCCTCCCATTAATTTTCTTGATTTTTATTTGAATTTTAAAGATTTAAAATGAATTAAATCAAATAAAATTAAACAAAAATAGAAAAATTAATTTTTATTCTTGAAATAAAACATGGGACACGTGGGAGGTATGGAAAAGCTGAATCAAGTGGAAAAAGTGGGCCCCTTTTGTCAAAAAATGAAATTTCAAGGATAAATGATTTTGGCCATTTCACAAAAATTTCCCAACTTCTCCAATGCATATCTTGCTCAATGTTTAAGCTTTAATCATGTTCTTGGACATTTTGGAAAGGTCTTGAAGTCCTCTAACCAATTTCTTTGGTCCCATGTCATTTTGATTTACCAATCTCAAGTTATGGTCTTTGACTTAAAGTCCCTTTTTGTTGACTTTTGAAAATGACCTATAATGTTGAAATTGATAACTTTTTGTGAGAGCATTTCCTGGACTTGGAATGTGAAGATGAGTTGTAGGAAATGTCTTCCCCTTAAAGATGAGCATTGGATGGAATTTTTATGATGAAGCATGAAAAAGTTATGCCTTGGTCAAGTTACAGTTGACTTTTCAGTTGTCCAAAAATAGAAACTTTTGACACCTTGATGATTTTTGAGCCATTCTTGTGAAATCTTGGTCAAGACTTGACCAAATGATGATTGTGGCTTCAAAATAAGATGTTGACCAAAACTTTTGAGTTTTGACTGCCAAATGACCATTTTGCCCCTACAGTTGACTGTTGAGCAAATGGGACTTTTGACTGTGCAACTTGACCTTGTAAGCCTTGAAATTTGACATGTAGGTGCTTGACAATGTTTATGAGCATATGGGACTTGATTTAGCCCTTGAAAACTTCAACTTCCTTGCCAGAACCAAAACCCTAATTTTGACTGTTAGGAGGCCATTGGACTGTGCAACCCTTGGGAGATTTTGAAGCATGATCTTAGCAAACCTTGAAGAATATGGGAGGGCAAATTTTGGGATACAACAGTTGCCCCTGTTCAATCTTCTTAGACCTGAGGATGTAGATTGGCTTGTGTGCCTTTCGTGATCCGAGGGTGGAAGATGATTGAACACTAGAGTGCCCAGAAATTTGCACTCACATAGTAGAGTATCAGCAGTGTGATGTCGGGAATGGGCTTACAGATGCCATTTGGAGAGATGATGGGTAGGAGGATGGGCTTATAGATGCCATATGGAAGTGTGACAAAACCTTGTCGGGAATGGG